CGGGGAGGCCGCGCCCGCCGCCCCGGCCGAGCCCGAGGATGAGATTTCCTTCAGCGACCCCGAGGACTTCGTGGACGACATCAGCGACGAAGGTGCGGGACGGGAGGAGCCGCGGGGGCTGCGGAGCTGGGGGAGCCCGTGGGGAGCCGGGGCCAGGCCGGGGAGCGCTCTGCCCCGAGCCCCCGGGCCCGGCTGCGCTCCGCCCTGGTGCTGGGCAGCTCCGCTTCGGAGCTGTGCTTCTTACATCATCTTCTTTCTGAGTTATTTCTGCACCGCACAACGCTGCTGTTCTAAAACCTACTGTTAAAATGGCTCTAAAGTCGCTGTTACACCTCAGGTGTGGGCTGCCCTCTGAGTGGAATCATCAGCTCGTCTCCCTTCCCTTTGCCTCTGTTAGTTAAATTCATCAGTAGAAACAGAAGTTTTAAATGGTTGATGTGGTCGTTACAAACTATGTTTCATCGTTGTTTTTTTTTTCCATCCACCCAGGATGAAGTCCGTAGGTAAATAGAGTTTGAGGAGAGTTACTGCTCGTGAAGATGTGATGTAGGTACTTTGTGACAAGAAAATAGGGGAAAATCGTTTCTGGCAGTTAAAAATGTCAGCCCAAGCTCTTTTAAAAGTAGTGGATATTGACTGCCTTAAAATGGCAAAGCTGTAGTGTAACTGCACAGACAATAAATGTTTATACATGGGCTTGCCATATGGAAGTTTGAGCTCTAATTATTATAGTGTTTTTCAGATGGGTCTTTCCAGATAAATTTTCTTAGTTTTTGAATAGCAAAAGTACTTGTTCTCCATTATTTGTTCAGCATTTGTGCTGTGTTAGGGTCTCATGTGCCTGTGTTCTGCCAGTTGTAGGGTCTGTTACACGTATCAAAAGTGGAAAGATGTTTCTAAAGCACAGGACTGTAAATCAGCTAGTTATCTCCACTGGCAGTGGAATACAGGTGATACAGGTGCGCATTCTTGTGTTCCAGACCTTTGTTTAGTTTAATGAAACAGCAGCCAAATATCCTAGATTAAGGAAGTGTTTGCTGTTCTCAGTTTAGCAGTCTGTATAACAGCTCTTTGAACTTGTACATTTGTTTCTCAAAGAGACTTTGGCAAAATTGCCTTAGAGTTGGATTCTTTTTGTCAAGTGCCTGCTTAATACGCTTTGTGTACGTCTAGGATTGTGATGTTCAGTTCCTTCTTAGAAACTGGGCATATTTTCTGTCTCCACCTATTTTGTTGTTAATTAATTTGGTTAACTTC